AAGGAGCTCCGCAGTTTTTTGGGGCTTTGCTCCTATTTTCGCCGCTTCATACCTAAATTTCCCGATGTCGCGTATCCGCTGACATGTTTGCTATGGAAGCATACTCCCTTCGAGTGGACTCCGGAGTGCGACTCCTCTTTTCGTCAACTGAAGTTCCTCCTGACGTCGCGGCCTGTTCTTCAACACTTCAACCCATCAGCTCCGACCGAACTGCACACAGATGCCAGCGGCATAGGAATTGGTGCCGTCCTAGTTCAACGCTATGGTAACCGCGAGCACATGATTGCATACGCAAGTCGCTCCTTAAGTAGACCCGAGCAGAATTACACTGTCACAGAACAAGAATGCCTCGCGGTAGTATTTGCGATTCAGCGGTTTCGGTCTTACTTATACGGACGCCCTTTTACAGTCGTCACCGACCACCACTCATTGTGTTGGCTCGTCAACCTTCGGGATCCTTGCGGCCGTCTAGCGCGCTGGGCACTTCGACTCCAAGAATATAACTTCATAGTCTCGTACAAAAGTGGTCGACGACACGCCGATGCAGATTGCCTTTCGTACATGCCACTGAGCACTACAGAGTGTGACGCCGATGACCTCGATCACCTCGTAGCTTCTGTGTCACCAAAGTTTCCCGACCTCAGTACTTTCAAAGATGAACAGCGAAAGGACACCAGGCTATCATCGCTTTGCACAGCTCCTACGGCATGCGATTTCTGTGTACGCAACGGACTCCTATATAAGAACTTTTCCAACACTGGCGCACGTTTCCTCCTGGTAGTTCCAGAAACCCTTCGGACAGCGATTTTAGGTGTGATGCACGACGATCCTACGTCCGGACATTTAGGTTCTGCGCGGACGCTTTACCGTGCTAAGGAACGCTTTTATTGGCCAGGAATGCGACAGTCAGTCGAGGCGTATGTGGCCAGCTGCACACAGTGTCAACGCCACAAACGCCCGTCTACTGCTCCGGCTCGTCTTCTACAGCCCTTGCCACCTCCAAGCACACCTTTCCAACAGGTGGGCATTGACCTCATGGGCCCTTTTCCTAAGTCGGCTAAGAGAAATCGCTGGATAATTGTATGTGTCGATTACTTCACGCGCTACTGCGAGACGGCGGCCATACCAACCGCAACTGCCAGTGACGTTTCTGTGTTCCTGCTGCAGCACGTTATCCTCCGACATGGCCCACCTCACGTGATCATCAGTGATCGTGGGCGACAATTTACGGCAGACATAGTAGAAGAGCTGCTTCGAATGAGTAAGTCCCGCCTTCGTCACTCGTCGCCATACCATCCGCAAACAAATGGGCTCACGGAGCGCACCAATCGAACTATTGTAAACATGCTCTCTATGTATGTGGCATCCGACCACAAGAACTGGGATGACGTGCTACTATTTATAACGTACGCGTTCAACACCGCTAAGCACGAGACAACAGACTATAGCCCCTTTTTCTTGATGTACGCACGACCGCCACGGCACACACTCGACACAGTTTTGCCATTCTCGGCGCACGAGAACCTCTCAGTCACCGAAATCCTCTGCCTTGCAGAAGAAGCGCGTCGTATTGCTCGTCTACGCTTTTTGGCATCACAGGAAAAATCGAAGGTGCGCTATGACGTCCGCCACCGGCCTGTAACTTACCACCCAGGCGACTTAGTGTGGCTGTGGACTCCGGTACGAAGACGCGGATTATGCCAAAAGTTCTTGGCCACATACGACGGACCGTTTGTCGTTCTCGACAAAATCACGGAAGTCACATACACAATAGCTCGCCTCACGAGAAGTGGTAGAAGAGCCGCTAAAACCCAAGCAGTTCATGTCGCTCGACTGAAGTTGTACACACCAAGGTTAATCGGTTACCTCGCCCGGCGGGCTTCGTCTGCGAGGGGAGGAATGTTACGCATGCCTTGGAAGAAAACGAAGATGGGTGAACATGGTGGCTGCCCCAGGCTAGAGGAAGAAGGAAGACGACGACACTGCGATCATCAACCTGTTGGCCGCTCCGGTGCTTCTCTTCGCGACCAAAATAAACGGCCCCCTGCAGCCGCATACGTCCTGGTCCTCCTTGTGCGTAACAATATGCTGCCCGGAAAGCTTACCCAAGGGATGCAGTATCAAAATAAAGTATCAAATTATTGGAAATTTCTGGTCACAGGCTATTACCCTCTCGCCTGTGATAAACAGGCACTTGAAATACAGTGCGAACAGGCACGATAAGAAAAGAAATGGCTCTGACTGATAGTAGATTGAAAAAAACAGTCCACAGTTTGTAGTTTGCTCTGCTTGTGTGAAGCAACAAGCTCGTGCGAGATCCTCTTTTCGAGGCCAGCGCCCTCTTAAACGGGATCAGGCCTGTCCGCTCCTCCGGTCGTGGCCTGTGACGTCACTCAGTTTTGACCTACGGCTTCCGCCGAGTGGCTGTGCCACTTGCGCTGCTGTGCCGTGCCGTTCGAGTTGGCCGGCGTGCTAAGCCTGGCGAGCCGTTGACGCGGTGTGGTGGTGTCTTTTGTTGTTACGCTGTTGTGGTGTTTCTAGTGGCCTGAGAAGAGGTGTTTGTCTGCATATGTGAAAAGCTGCGTGATGGTGTGATGTGCTTGGTCGTTAACCGAATGTTCGCCTGCTAACTGTCGTAATGGGGCGATGCTGCGTGCCGAATTGTCGCGGGAACTACGACACCGGACCAAAAGTTCGAGTGTTCTCGTTCCCCAAGGATGCCCGACGAGTGGTATGGGAGCGTGCCGTTCGTCGAGATGACGTCGATATTCGTTCTCTCCGCGATCCAAAGGTATGTATACGTTTTCATAACTCGCTGTTGAGTAATTTGTGCTTTGTTATGTTTCCGCGTGTGTTCATTGCCGCGTGTGTTCATTTCTGTGTTGAACCATTTGCTTTGGCTTTGCCGCTTTGTTGTGGTGGGAATTCCGCCATGGCTATAAGGTGGCCCGCATGTTTTAAGTGATGTTCGTTCTAGAAGCGCCGGGACGCATTCTAAGTTCACGCAACGCTCGACTTTGCTGTTTGTTCTCACTTATACTTGCTCTCCAGTGCACCGTCGAGAAATTTCGATGATGCAAGTATTAAAACGCATGCGGGAAACGGCTGGCACTCGTTCTCGCCGAGTGCGTTGTCGTTCATTTTTTTAGGAGTAACTCGTGAGCTTCACTGGCCGAGTTCATTTCTGTTCACCTTTCTGCTTGCCTGCTTCCTAGCCAGCCGTTCTGCAGCGTGATATCTATGTGTAAATATGTTTTTGAAGGGGTCATATGCGTCGTTAGAACGAAGGTAGGCAGGAAAAGGAAAAATTCTGTGGAAGGACAACAAGTTGCATCAAAGAGCGTGTTGTTTTATTTGTACACAAGTTATCACTAAACGTTTCGTGATGAGTATTTGAAAGATATCTCAGAGCACACTTTCTTGGATTCTCTATATTTTCTTCGATTGCTATGCAATTATCTTGAGAGCTGTCGTTGAAATTTTGATGTTGCTGCAGGGCGCCACGCACTTCTGTAACAGCTCCGACTTTTAATTGAGAAATATAAGTGGCGTAATCACATGAATCCATGTGTTAAATATTGCTTGATGCTGCACCCGCGACTTTCTTGCGCTTTTGTAATTGCATGCCCATCGCGCTAGCCGCTTCCGTTACTTTGTTTCCTTGAAATTACCCGCCGTGGTGGCTCAGTGACTAAGGCGTTGTGCTGCCGAGCGCAAGGTCGCGGGTTTGATTCTCGGCCGCGGCGGCCGCTTTTCTGAAGGAAGCGAAATCAAAAACGATAGTGTGTACGAGACTTAAGCGTACGTTAAAGGTCCCCATGGGTGGTCAAAATTGACCTGGAGCCTTCCACTGCGGCGCACCTCATCGCCTAGCTCTGCAGTTTCGGTGTGGTAAACCCCGTAATCAATAAATTTCCTTCAGATGTCTGCTGGTGCCTTTCATTGATATGTGCATGTCTGTACAGAGCTAAGATTTTCGTATTTTCTAGCCAAGTAAATGAGGGGGATATAAAGGAGAAAATCTCTAATAATGCATTTTATTTTTGTCAATGGTGTGCAGGTATGCGAGCTCCATTTTAAGCCTGAATACTTGAGGACGACCACCACGTACACCGATCCTAGAACCGGCAGGAAAATAGAAGCTGCCATGGGTGCCACTCAACTTACTCCGGATGCAGTGCCGACAATTTTTCCAAATTCTCCTGCTTACCTGAGCGACTGCGCACCAGTGCGCGAAAAGCCCGAAGAAAAGCGGAAACGTCGCGAAGCATCGCATCTGGAGGAAGCTATTCGACAGTCCATTTCTTCGCGCGAAGAAGAGGACCGCCTAAATAAGCTGCAGTCATACGAGGACCTTGTATCGCAACTACAACGCGTCGACCTCTCCAGCTACTGGACAGCAGTACAAGCAGCAAACGCTGTTCTGTTTCTTCATGTAGAGGGCGAAGATCCACCGGAAGTTGAAAGATCTGTGGTTGTCAGCAGGAACATAGAGGTTACGGCTTTCTGGAGGAAGGCGAAACTACCTGGGAAAGATCTCCTCATCCTGTCTAGACTGGGCGATCTGCGCGTCCTGCAGACCGCACCAGACAGTGTGAGACGTTTCAGGGGCCCAGACGTTTGTGTACAGGATGACAAAGTGAAGGCAACTTTCAACTTGTTGTTCTCCTTGCTGGAAAGCCTCAGTTCAGATGATCTTTTGCCGCAGGAGAAAATAGAAACCCTTGGATTTATCAAGGAACAGCTTGAGCTACTGCAGAAAAATTACCACTCAGTGCGGTACTCTGCTGACCTTTTGATATTCTCTAGCATTTTGTACACTATTTCCCCACACGCCTACAGATTCATTCGCAGCGCTGGCAAGGTAGCACTGCCACATCGATCTACGCTCGTGCGAATCTGTTCGCAATATAACGTGAACCCTGCAAATGAGCAGGACGATGAAAGGTTTTTACGTTATGTGAAGAAGCAATCAAGCCTTCTCAAACCACATGAAAAGATTGTGACTCTAATGGTGGATGAAATCCACATTCAGCCATACTTTGAATACAAAGGTGGCTGCGTGACGGGGGCGGCTTCTAATTCGGAAGAAGCAGCCAAAACTGCTCATGTTTTTATGATACAGTCCTTGCTATCAGCGCACAAGGATGTCGCTCACATTCTGCCAGTGGCTAACATCGAAGCAGTTGAACTGCATGAGGCTCTGAGAAAGACAATTCTAGAGCTGGAGAAAGCAGGGCTTACTGTCATCGCAGTAATCACAGACAACAATTCAATAAACAGAAAGGTGATGTCCTTTTTTTCTAAGACGCGAACAGTTGAAATTGTATACCCCCACCCAGCAGACAATTCAAGACCCCTTTTTTATGTGGTAGATCCTGTACACCTTCTAAAATGTGTAAGGAACAACTGGTTGAACCAAAAAAATCCTGGTACGTGCATCTTTTTCCCTGAACTTCCCAGCACTTCCTCGTTAGTTCAGGTAAACGGAGCTTCTTTTAAAGCTCTTCGGGACCTTTATGCTTCTGAGCAACACAGTGTCTCAAAGTTTGGCTATGGATTGAGCTATAAATCACTGCATCCATCCAACATTGAGCGCCAGAACGTGAAGCTTGCTTTGAAAGTTTTCAGTTCATTTGTGGTGGAGGCGCTAAAAAGTCGCGGAAACGAACTCAGTTTGAACTACACCGCGGGGACAGCGCAATTCATTGACCTAATTTTGAAGTGGTGGCATATTGTCAATGTAAAAAGTTCCTCAAAGGGCCGGCGCCTCAGAGATCCGCTTCAGGATCCAGTAAGGAGTTTGAGTGACAAGCAGATCGAATTTCTTAACAATTTCGTAGACTGGTTGGACACGTGGCGAGACATCAGGATGGATACCGGGGCATTAACCACAGAAACCCATGCAGCACTGCGGCTTACTTGTTACTCGCTTGTCGAACTGTGCCGGTACTGTCTTGAAGAACTGAATTTCAACTATGTCTTGCTGGGTAAATTTCAGACCGACAGTTTGGAGGAAAGGTTCGGACAGTACCGTCGGCTCTCTGGAACAAATTACCACATATCAATACAGCAAGACTTCGAGTCAGAAAAGAAGCTGAAGCTACAAGACAGTTTGGTTTTGCCCGATATGCAGGAAATACAGAAGCCATGTGCTATAACAATTGACGGAGCTCAACTGGCACAGGAGCACGGTGTTAAGATATCAGACTGTGGTATAAAAAATAAGGAGTCCCATTTGGCAGTAATTACGTACATTGCAGGATTTTGTGCACACGCCGCGTTAAAGAAGCTGCCTTGTGAGTATTGTGCCATGAATATTAGATCTCAGGACCGGGAAATTCAGCTTGACAGAAATGTCCTGATTGAAAACCTCTCGGGAGGCGCTCTGAAGTTTCCCCAGCCGACTGTCAATAATGCAGTTCTACACGCCCACATTGTCTTGGAACAGCTTACCAGCAAAGAGAATGCCTCACGTTTTCATGCAACTCCTAAACAGAGGGAGGTCCTTGTGTCTATCACAAGGCACCTTTGCGAATGTGAGGATTTTGATGTCTGTACCAATGGTCATCACCCTGACACTGTGCTGACTAATATACTTGTGGCAGCAGCAAACACCCTTCTGAAAAACTACGTTCAGATGAAGACAGATATTTTGAACACTAAAAAAAAACGCAGTCACAGCAAAGGAAGCTGCAGAAGTTTTCAAAATGAACAGGAAGTTTTTGTGCGTTCTATGTACATTGCAAATGTGAAGAACACAGCTTTTTTTCTTCAAAAACTCTTATTTATTCTTTTCTCATACAGTTAAGTTATGTTACTGTAGTGTTCATAGTCTCTGCACAACAGGGTATTTTACCGTACGCGCCAATGAAAGCCCTCGCCATTCATATTGCTTACTATGGCGGTTACTGAGAAGCATGTATCACCTGCATTCTGCCTGCACGGTTGCTCGAGGCTTTATTATCATCTTCGCCATTTTATTGTTCTCGAGTGGTCTGCAACATATTGCTTAGTAAATCAATGATTTGTTTCTGTACTTACTGTATGCCACCTGGTTGCCTCATTTCAGTGTTTTGTATATTGTGCTGGAGTGTTCTGCATTGCAATGCTTAGTATACTAGCGATTGATAAAATTAGTTGCGTGTGTAGCAAGTGCGTGTTTTCTTTGTCCCCGTAAGCGTTTTCGTTCAGAGGGCTCTGCTTCACCTATATGGCATGATGATCAACAATGAACTCGACCAGCTTTGAACCTGATTGTTTTTTTGTCACGCGCCATCTATCTGTATCATTGCGAGCAAAGCTTGTGTCTGTAATGACCAATTACATATAACTTGCCGTATGATCAACCTCGCCGGCGTTATCGCTATTTCAAATTTTCATGCTCTTTGTGATTATTGTGCGCAACACTATTATTTATAGTCTGTACATAAGGAAACCGAAAAGCATGTACTTCTTTGATAAAGGCTGGGCCAACAGATGAAATGTTAGTAAAATGAATGTGCAAATTCAATGTCCGTCGTACTAATTTTTCTTCATTATAAACTTTCGAGGCCGACGTCATTTTGTTGTTGCCACCGCTATGTGTATAAGTGAGAACGAACGTTAAAGCGTCGTGGCTTGCTTAAAGCAGCGCTGATTACAGTGCAAAATGCAAAATAAAGAGGTCACATATGTGGAACTCCAAGCGATCGTTTGTTTCCGTGGTAGGCGACGAGACGCGCCGCCCGCGTGGCTCGGTCAACACGCGTGACGTCACGGTGGCAGTGAGCAGGCCTGAACTTTTTTTTTACGTGGCATTGTCGAGGCGCGCCTTCCCCTCACACACCACTACCGCAGAGAATAAGCTTCGCCCTGCTGGGGCAACGAGCGCTGGGGAACATTAGACAGGGTGCACGTGCAGTGGCGTAGCCAGGGGGTGGCACATTAGGCCTGTGACCCCCCTCCCTCCAAAAATGCCGTCGCATACAGGGCACAAAACAAAACGACGCTCGACCACATCTGCCTGGCCGGCCCCAACTTCGGATCCAGGCAGTATCCCTACCCCTTCACCTTAAACAAATTTCTGCCTGCGTGCCTGTGCACGTGTCGCCATAAGCAGGCTAGAACACAGGAGCAGCAAGCAGCGTGGGCTCAAAACCGTAGACGTTCATATACGGAGCCGGTTTCGATACCTTTTTATTGCCGCCCACGTACGTTTCTTTGCATATTCTGCAGGTGCAGTTGGGAGTTCAATGGAACGCCAGAGCGTGCCTACGCCGGCGGCTGGGGGTCCCTGGCACTAAATCTAGAACACACAACACGCGGATATGCGTGTCGTCTTTAGGCGATGCCAAAGCGGCACGTAAAAAAAAAAGTGGACAAACTACCGTGGTATTCCATTCGTTTGCTAGCTCTCGCGGTGTAAGACACACACTTTTTTTCTTATTTTCTTACACTGTGCTCGCTCCCAAGCAGTGTGCGTGTCACGCATAGGCGTACGCAGGGTTCCCCTTCAGGAGGGGCGAAGGTTCGTCGCAGTGCCACCCCTCCCTCTTATGTCAATGCATGGGGCTGACTTGGCGCTCCCCCCCAGTCGCAGCCTCTATTATATCAATGTGCAGACCTGACTGCGCCCCCCCCCCCCCTGCCCCGAGAAGTCCCGAGAAGTTTGTCCGCCGACGTCAACGCTTCCCTGCCGGAAAAAGCGTACAGCCTCCGCTCCCTTTGGTTCCCGCGCATACTTGTGAAGCGCGCGCTGCCCGTGAAACAGCCCTCGTTCCGCCATGTCAACGCGACAAAGAGGAGGGAATCATAGCTGTGTCGTCAACTGTGACAATGGCCATGTAAACACGAAGGGGTCGACTTCAACCTTCCCAAACAGAAAAAGCAGGCGACAAGCATGGATCGCAACAGTGCGCCGAGACAAGTAATTTTTTTTATAAAAATGAGCACGTGCACGATGCATTTAACCTGACAGGAGTTTATTCCTGCGTCACCACTCCTCTAAGCTTTCGAGTTACATGGAGATACATATCTGCATCTTAAAAGCGCAAATTGCATATATTACTTCCAACTTCCGTCTTTTCAGCACTGTCAAAAAATTGCGAAGACATGTTTATGCTGCTACTGTTATTCGATATTGTAGTAGTTGAAGTTGTGTACACATGTGGTATTTGTGATGTGTGATAATATATTTTTTATATCTAAGCAGCGCCGATGGAAGAATGTGGTTGCCAAAAGCTTCGACAATGATTTGTAGCAGCCATTTTGTGGAAAACTGCAAAGTGACTCAAGCGAACACATTTCTTATGTACTGACGATAGTTCCAGCGGCTTACAGGAAACGGGCATCTCACGCAGAAACGGCGCAGAGGTATGATAAGCAGCGAAGCGCATAACTGACTATGCATTTTAAAGCATTCTCTTTAGAGTGTTGATTCCAAAATTTACGCTCAGCAAAAATTTGTTCCGCGCACGTGCAATTATTTATTTATTTACTTTTTATTTATTTATTTATTTATTTATTTACAATACTGCTAGCCCTTGCGGGCTGTAGCAGGGGTGGGAGGTGAACAGGTTAACAATACACAAACAATGTTAGGCAAAAAACAAGTCCAGCCGTCGTTGAAAATCCTGTGAGGATCTACATCCTGTAAGTACCTCGGGAGGAAGCGCATTCCAGTCAACAATAGATCGCACCAGAAACGAAAACTTAAATACATCCACCCGCGGTACATAAGCTTGGACAGAAAATGAGTGATTGGTACGAGCCGATACTCGTCCTGGGGGGCGCAGGTATACACTGGGATCCAGCTTGTAGTTTTTATGATACAGGTCATAAATAAATTTTAAGCGAGCTATTTTTCTACGTGTAGCTAACGATTGAAGGTCAGCCCTAGCGAGCAAAAGTGATACAGACTGTGTTCTCATGTAATTTGAATAAATAAAGCTCGCGGCCAATCTTTGTACTCGTTCAAGTTTGTTAATTTCAGTTTTATTATGCGGATCCCAGATTATAGCTGCGTACTCCAGCGTTGGTCTAACAATAGTCTTATACGTCAACAATTTAACAGAGGGCGGTGCATTACGGAGTTTACTTCTCAGAAAACCCAGCTTTCGCTTCGCCAGTCCTGTAATATTGTCAATATGCTTGTCCCACTTTAAACTGCTGGATATAGTAACACCTAAGTATTTAAGCTCATTAGAACTCTTAATTTCTCTATTGTTTATTGTGTATTTATAGTTAAGGGGGGTTTTTTATTTGAAATTGTCATGCACACAGTTTTATCAAAATTAATTTTCATGTCCCATTTTTCACACCAGTTGTCAATACATCGAAGAGCATCATTGAGGAGCATTTGATCAGAAACACTTTTCACATGACAAAACAAGAGACAATCATCTGCATATAACCTTACATCAACAAAAGGAGGCACAACCGTTGCAATATCATTCACATAAATTAAAAAGAGTAGAGGTCCCAACACGGAGCCTTGTGGCACACCTGAGGATACGCGTAAAAGAGAAGAACGTGCGCCACTTATTTCAACAAACTGCAACCTATTGCGCAAGTACGCTTCAACCCATCTTACAATTGCGGGATCAATACCAAGTATTAACATTTTTTGAATAAGTTTCTGATTACATACTCTATCAAAGGCCTTAGAGAAATCAATTGCTATGACATCGACTTGTTCTTTTGAGTTTATCGCTGTAGCGAAAGCATGAACAGATTCAAAAAGCTGAGTGACGGTTGAAAGGCCTTTTCTAAAACCATGTTGCTTATTATAAAACAGATTATTGTTTTCTATATATTGAAATATATATTTTGAAATTATATGTTCTATTACTTTGCATGCCGTGCATGTGATAGAAATTGGACGGTAATTACAAACATTAAGGCGGTCACCAGCTTTGAAAATGGGCACAACTCTTGCTAATAACCAATCAATCGGAACAGCGGCAGTACACAAAGATAAATTAAAAATTTTAACTAAGAAACTAGAAACCCAATCAGAGTAGCGCCTCGAAAATTCGTTGGGAATCATATCCGGACCAGGTGATTTTTTATGATCCAATTCAAGCAGTAAAGCCATTACGCCCTCTTTAGATACGGTAAGAAGATTGGAACTAGTATCATCGAACGTACAGCCTTTTTTTGAATGATCAATACTTGGAGAAAAAACGGTACTGAAGTAATGATTGAATGCTTCGGCAATCTGAATCGGTTCGCTATAGGAGGTCCCGTCTATAGAAAGCCCAGTTATTTCAGACTGCGAACTCGACAGGCACCGCCAAAATTTCTGGGGAGAGTTGGATATGTATTCAGACAATATATTAGTTAGAAAATTACTTTTAGATTGCTTGACTTCTCTTCGTACCTGAGCACTAATGTGAGCAATAACAGACGAGTTTCTTGGTATTTTCTGACGGGCGCAACATAGTCGTCGTTTTAGGTGAATGATGCTTCTGGTAATCCATGGGTTAGCTTTTGCAGTTCTCTTTTCTCTTTGGGGAACAAAACGTGACAAACAGTCGTTTACTACCTTCTTAAAGTATTCCCAGAGGTCATTTACATCATCTGTAGGCGGGATAGCGTCAAAAGCCATTTCTAAGTAATCAAGAATTGAGGTATCATCTGCGGCCTGAAAATTGTACACGTTTACTCTGGTTATTTTTTCTAATTTTTTATTTGGTTTAAGAGTTGCTGCAACCACTTTATGATCCGAGATTCCATCCTCGATACTTATTTCATAATCAAACACTTCCTGTGACAAAAATAGTAAGTCCAACAATGTCTCGGTTTCTCCTTGAACTCGAGTGGGCTTGTCAACTACCTGAACCAAATCGTACTTGATCATGAGGTCAAGCAGATTTTCTGCAAGAGGCCTGTTAAGCGGTCCAGCAACTCGTGCATTCCAGTCAACACCTGGTAAATTAAAATCGCCTGTGATTATTACTCTGCTTCGTTTGTTTGTCATTGTTAGCAAGTAGTCATCCAATTTCTTAAAAATATCAACTAAAGTTCCGGGGGGCCTATAGAGAACCCCTATAAGTAACGTGATATCTCCCATAAATAATTTGTACCACACGTTTTCACAGTCTTTAATGGGCGGCAATAATTCGTACCGAAGAGTTTTCTTAAGCAACGCCTCCGCCTCGGGTTAGTCTGTCATTACGCAGTACATGAAATGAAATGGGAAAAACATCCGTATCTGCAACATCCTCTGTTAGCCAAGTTTCTGTTACAGCCACGAGGTCAGGGTCATAAATTAGTGTAAACGATTCTAGTTCTTCTGTTTTTTTCAAAACGCTTCGTGCATTCACGTTTATCAGCTTTATGTCGCACTGCTTCTTTTGTCAGACCGGGCTGCGTGCTTCGCTTTGAGCGTTTTTAACTTTCACGCGTGTATGGGAACGGGAATCCCACGTATAAGCAGCGTCGTCGATGTAAAGCTTATCTCGAACAAGCCTCACCTTCGCACCATTGCGCCTATCATCAAGAGCAGAGCGCCAAA